TGATGTGTGCAAGAAAGACAAAGAGTCAGACGCATTATTGTCATCACAACAGATACTGGATTTCGTTCCCCAGTCTGAAGAACCATTTGTCGGGGAGATCGGGAGGGCCCAGTCTGAAGAACCATTTGTCGGGGAGGTCGGGAGGGCTGCTGATTTTGAGCTCGACACATGCGATTCTGGAGTTGGCACTTGGTGTCAGAAAGCCGGGAGCTGATGAGACCCATTCAACTAGGGGGCATTGGGGATAGGATTCTTTCAATCTTTCCTCTAGTCCGTGTATCCCGTTATCTATGTTCTCAAACTGGATTCAGTGGTGCCTGTTCATCGGTGCCTGTCTGTGCCTAGAGGACCCTTGTTGTGCTGTTCTGTTCCGTCTCCATTTGGAGATAGACACCACTCATCCCTCACAGTACAGTGCCTGGATTGAAAGGAGGTACCCTGCGTGTTCGGGATCAGCGCACAAGACTGTGACTGCATGTCTGCCGCTCCGTTGGTAAGCCACTTTCGGTTCCCCGTCCCTCAGACTTTCTATTTTCGAGGGCTTCCCGGACTCTTCTTCGTTTTTCTGTTGGTGACCAGTGTTTCAGCTTTACCGGGAATGAACAGACCACAGTGTGAGATTCATAGAACTCGTCTAGCACGGGCAGGTGCTCTTGGGGGTATTCCCAGACTTCGACTTCCTTCTTCTCCTTTCACCATTCCTTTGGAGCACGACCAGCCCCCGTCGGCTAAAGCGAATGGTGAGAGAAAGTCACGACGACGGTTGGCGGCCCTGGGCCTGTCGGCTGCTGACCAGCCGACGGTAGGCGCCGTCGACGCCGACCAGTAAAAAAAAAAAAAAAGAACTCCCCCTAACACCCTCATACCCCCCCCTTTACCCCCTACAACCCACTAACCCCCCTATACCTCCCCCTATAACCCACACCACCCCCAAAAAAAATTATTGCGGAGTTGGGCTGCTCTCCTCAAGCCGCACACAACCATGTAATCAGATAAAAAAATAAAAAAATTTAGGCAGTCTGCCGACCGCCGACGGGTCCGCCTACGGTGCTCGATTGGTAGGCACGCCTACCGCCTATGGTAGGCGTAGGCGGTAGGCACCAAAACAACCCTGCCTTTGGAGATAATGGGGGTGACTTTTGTTTCCCTCACCACTAGATTTAGCACTTCTTCACTTGGGTCCTGCTCCTGGTCTCTGAGTTGTTTGGAGCGCCACTTGTTGAGCTTGTGGTTGCAGCAGCAGTTGCTGTTGCAGAGGAGGCTGCAGTTGAGGATTGAGAGTTCGTCACTTTGTGGTTCGTGGGTGGTAGCGACCAGAAAAAAAATAAATTGGCCTGGGGTCGGGATTGTTTGCTACAGCGGTGGACTGAGTGGCTGGTTGAAAAAAAGGACCTAGGAAAAGAGTGCATGGGTCCTGGAGACCATCTCACGCAAGAGTGTTCACAGCATGCATCATCATGATTCACAACTGAAGTCTCACACATTAGACAAATGTAGATGAGAAGAAGGACGGAGTTGCACAACTTAAATTATCAAAATTATGATTACAAAGAGTTCCACAGTTCCCCGAGTCCAGCGCTCATCAGCGCAATGCAAATTCTCATCCAACTCATCAATATCACTTCTACATATCAGCGCCACTTCTGCAGATCCGTCTCCAGCTCAGGTAAGTATTCCCCATAGCCGAACCTTGCTTGAACCCTCCTTGTCTCAGTCCCTTCTTCCTACGATGCATACACACTCATCTCTCTCAAGGATCTACTCTGAATGCTACTCATAGATGTCTACTACTAACCCTCTAAATCTATACTAACTCGCTGGGCAGCTATGGCTGCATCTCTTTCCCAGCGCCTTGTCTCTCTTCCTTCTCTAGTGCATCTTCTTCCTCCAGTGCTGCTCCTCCTGACTGGCGCACAAGTGCTCCAGCACTTCCACGCACAGAATGCCAGTGGAGATCTGGCGAGAAATGAGGCTGGCCTCTGCCTTTATAGTGCTGGCCTCTCCTCGTTGGGTCTGCATTGGCTCATTCAGGCCTTCCTATGTCCCAGACCCTGCATTGCATGTGTCCCAGTACTGTCCCAATGAAGTTCAACTGCTGCTGAGGCCTCTCGGCCTAGATTTGGACTTGGATGTCTGGATCTGGACTGTCCCTTAGACTTAGACCAGAACTGGGACTCTGTTTATTGGCTTTACTTTCGAATAGGCACAACTTTGGATGAACAGACACACTCACTGCCTGAACAGACACTCACATTGTGTGAATAGACACTCCCTTTTGCACGAACAAACACACTGACTGTATGTACAGACACACCCTTATCTGGACAGACATGACATGTGCATTCCCTGGCGAATAGGTATGTTCTTATGCAATGACCTTTGCTTTAGTTTAGGATGTGCCCTTTGAAAGAGAACTTGACCTTTGACCTGCTTTCACGTTTCTGGGTCCTGGCGAGATACCCCTTCACGCGATTTACTTTTACAAGGCCTGTATCGGGTAAAGGCCCTTTTACTCTCGCCGGCCTAGTTTCGAAGTCCTCTGAGAAATCATTTATCTATCAATGATGTGGATTCTTCTCTTTCCGCTTTCATACGCAGACACAATATGAGGTGCAAAATCTAATAATTCTTCTCTTGTGAACCAGCGATCTTACTAGGATCCTGGTATGCAAATCTCACCTTATATTGACGTTGTGGTCTGCCTCTACGACCAGTGTGAAACGTATTTTCTGCAACAATCTTATCCACATCATACTTCACATCCATACTTGGAGGTATCGCTGATCTGCGACTTGGGAATAGCTCATTTGTTACGCAAGGTAAGAGCTTGGATGCGTGGAACACTGGATAGGTATGTAGATGCAAAGGAATTAATGACATACAAAGGACCATCCGCATCTCCAATCACATCTAGGACCTGCCAAGGCCCTCTGTAGGTGGGTAGAAGCTTTTGAGAAATGTTTTCTTAAGGAGCGAACTCCTTAGACTTCACCCAAACTAAGTCTCCTACAACAAATTGAGATGGTCGTCTATGCTTATTTGACTGTTCAGTCGTCTGTTGCTGTGCTTTGATTATATTTTCCTTTACTTTCTCAATGTCTTTCTAGTACTGAATTGCGAATTCACTAGTCCCTAAAGGAAGCTTATGTACTTGATCCGGGTTCAGTCGATCAATGGGTCTGCGTGGACGCCATCCCAGCTGTAACTCCATAGGAGTCTTACACGTAGATAGATGCACAGAGTTATTGTAGGCACTCGCAACCTTAGGCAGATGTTCATCCCAGTCAATCTGATCAGGACGAATGTACATGCGCAAAGTCTGTTGCAAAAGTTAAGAAAACTATGATCCGGGTTCAGTCATCAATGGGTGCAAAGTCTGTTGCAAAAGTTAAGAAAACTATGATCCGGGTTCAGTCATCAATGGGTCTGCGTGGACGCCATTCCAGCTGTAACTCCATAGGAGTCTTACACAGAGATAGATGCACAGAGTTATTGTAGGCACTCGCAACCTTAGGCAGATGTTCATCCCAGTCAATCTGATCAGGACGAATGTACATGTGAAAGTCAGTTGCAAAAGTTAAAAAAACTATCTTCAATTTTTTGAAGTTTGGAGGGGGGCTTAATAGCTCTGTTCGTGGGGAGGGTCCGTAAATGCTGGCTAAAGTATTCTGTTCTGCAATTTGTTGTAGCGGATGATATTTCTAAAGTTGTGATGAATTGTCAGGACCGTTCATTATTGAATTGGCAATAATTGTTAGAGCTGATACTAGTGTTAATAATGGCGGTGATGATGTAATGGCTATAAAATTATAAGTACTATCCCACACAAAAAAAAAAAGACGATAATATTTAATCACTATGCTCCTGATAACAGTGATGGTATCAGTGATACTAATACCCGTGGCTTATAATAATATTCCCAATAATAATAACTACAACAAATTTAATATTGATAATGAACAATAGATGTAAATTATACCGTTGGTAGAAATATTAGTCGATGTGGTTAGTAAGTTAATGGGTGTTGGTGAGCAGGTTGGTTGATGCAGGGCAGGTCGAAGGGGCGTGGAAAGTCTGGGGATGGTTGGATGGGAGGGCTAATCGGCGACTGAAATGTCGTGGCCGGGGGGATGGTTGGGGGGGGGGGTGTTCGACTCCCTTACTCTCTCTGCTCTGAACTCCTCCCCTCCTTACTGTTCCGCTTTGTCTCTTCCTTTCTATCGACTCGCATTCGATCTCTTGCGCTCAAAAGCCCTTTTTCTCTCCTTTCCTTCCTTGTCTATCGCCGTTCCCTGCTTCAAATACTCTCGAAGTTACTTTCTCTTCTTTCTATCCTCGCCCTTTGCTGCTCCCTTTCTGCTCCTTTCGTCGGTTTCCTCTTGTCCCGTTGTCTTCGTGCGAGGGCGTGATGATGGTGAGAGGCATGCATGGCTATGGTTGCCCCCCGCCACGCCCACTGGCGTGGATGGATTTACCCACTTTTGCGTGCAGATTCGCGTCCCCTTGGCGGATCTGAAAATTTGAAAAAGTTTTGTGCGCGTCGCGTAAGGCCTTCCTGGTGGGTAGGCCCTTGAGGTGACCAAGAGGCTCCGTTGGCACTGTCCGCTGTGGGCGGTAGCGCTAACCGCTGACGCTAGCGCAAAAAAAAAAGCATAACTAGTAGCTTATTCTGCCCCCATGATCAGGCGGCACTTAATTCTTGCCCGGTCTCGTTTTTCGCTTTCCCCCGACTTCCTGGTCTTTTAAACTGCCCGCTTTTTCCTGAGCAGTTGCACCTTTCTCCGGTACATGACAATGGTCGTTGATTCACGGCCGTTGTGTAAATGTTCACCACTCCTCATGCTCCCTGCCAATCATTCATTAAAACAACAACAACAACAACAACAACAACAACAACAACAACAACAACAACCACCTGTGTCAAGCTCTTCTGATCAGGCTCCACTTTTTGCTGTGTTTCTCCTCCCTTCTATCCCTGCCCTCTCTGTTATTGTTCGCAGGTTTATGTTGGAGCAAAATGTGTCTCGTTCAATTTTGGCGACGAGCTTGTGCAAGGATTCCTCATGGGGTCTGGTGTGTTCTGGATTAACTGTGAAAGCATGCTGGTAGGCCGAGTCGTGAAGAGCTGTTATGTTGTTCAGCGTGCGCAGCAGCATGAAGCACAGAGGCAACTGGAAGAGGAAAGGGCCAACGATCCAGAGGCGGCTGCAAACCGCATCACAGGAGACTTTGGCAAAAGGTCTGTGCACCAGCAGGGTTTTGTAACTTTTATTGGATTACAAATTTCCATTAATTCTTAATTTCTTAGTGTATTCCCCAAAATCTTCGTAAGGGTGACGGTATTTCGCCCCCGAGGCCTCTAATCATTCGGTAGTTACTTGGAACTTACTTCAGTACTATTCACTACTGTTAAATTTAGTACCCCTAGTATTTCTTTTTCTTTTGTAAATACTAAATCATTCTCCGTACTGCTTGTTCCCTTGGTTATCGCGGTCCATGCTGTTTGTTCCCTTGGTCATCGCTGTCCTGCTATCGTGGAGGACAGCCGCAGCAGTTCACGGATCCGCACATCTGGGCCGAAGATGACCTCCGTGAAAGCGCGGATTCACAGCCGCAGCAGTTCATGGATAGTATATATAAGCTTGAAGAAAGCATAGATAGATGACTGGCGGAAGAGGGATTCGAACCCCCGACATGCGAATTATGATTCATCTGGGCCTAAGACGTCCTCCGTGAAAGCACGGATTGAAACTGGCAACCGCGGCCTCAAGAGCCAAGTCTCTTAACCACTACAGGCAGGACATGGTGTTTAGAAGTGCGCAACGATACCGGTCGTGATATCCAACCCCCGCCACTGCAACCGTGATTTTCTGTTCCACCCTAGCCGATGGCTACTTTAGTCGGGTGTTGCTTCTACATCTCGAGTTCTCGATCAGCCTTACTTCCCGTCTGACTGTATTGTCCAACTCAATGCACACCACACACAACACCACACGGCCACAGCAATCATCGCACACTTTGGTCAATCAGTAGATTCAGTACTTGGCCAACCACCAGTAATCGCGGATCCACCAAACACGGGACTGCCTGTAGGTTACGGGAGCCTTCCACAGCAGGTCATGGTTGCATATGCCGTCATCGCTATACCACACTCCTTACCTTCCTTTGGTCTTCTTTCTTGTCTTTCCTGTCTTTCATAACTGTCTCCCCTCTCTCTGTCTCCCCCCCCCTCTCTCTCTGTGGTCCCTCTGCTCCCCTCCGCCTTTCCTCTCCAACTTTCCTCTGTCTCCCATGCCTTGTAAAGAAGACGTTACAAAGGAAACCGTCAAAAAAACACAGAAAGAACGAAGGAAACAAAAAAAAAGAACTGCATATGAAAATGCAGAAAGAAAAGGGAGGAAGGGAGGTAGGGAGATGCTGAGGGGGAGGGGGGAAGGGAGGTGCAAGGGGAGGGGGG